GCCCAGCCGCGCCGGAGCAGCCCGGGCGCGGCAGACCCACTCGGGCGGGGACAGCCCGGGACAGCCCGGGACAGCCCAGCCCGGCCGCCTTCCTCCGCCCCACTCCCGGCCCGCGGCACCGCGCGGATCCCGATCCTGGCCCATACCGCAGCGCCGCGCGCACCAGCGGATACCGCGAAGGCATCAGCCGCACACCCCGTGCCGCCATGTCTCCTCCGCGCGCCAGCGCCGGGTCATGGCCTCGCCACGGGCCAATCAGCGGACGCTGCTTCCCTGGGGGGGCGGGCGAGGCGAAGAGTGGCAGGAGCCGCGTCCAGCGGGGCCCCCCAGCGTCCCCGAGGGGCGGGGCCCGCTGCTCCGCACTGTGTGAGGAGGCGGGGCGCTAGAGGGCGGGCAGTGACGTAAGGGACCTGCCCCGCCTCACAGCCGCAGGTAATGTTGCGGGCGGAGGGAGAGGGGTGAGGCCACCGACTGTATTTTCCCGCATACCACACGTACCTCCCTTCCCAATTGCGGTGCGGCTTTCAGTGAGGAAACCGTGTTCGGTGTGGAAAAGGAGATGACCAGCGCTGAGCCTGCACCATAGCATGGGCCTGGTGCAGTCCGTGAGCTGCTGGTGGAAACGACACCGGATTTACAGGAGCTCGTGTCAAGAGCGACTTAGAGCCGCCCAGCAGGCCGAATGGGTTGTGCCCGGGCTGTTTGTGGGCTGGATCCAGCTGGTGGGCCTCATCCGGTGCCCGGCCACGGGGAGGGGGCAGGGGGCAACCTGGCCGTATGGGGAAGGGCGTTGCCCAGCTCTAATCCAGCCACAGAGGAGGGGGCAGTGGCCTGACCCTGATGCAGCAGCAGAGGAGGGAGGCTGTGGCCCAGCCCTGCAGGGGGAAGGAGCCCAGCCCAGCTCCAACCTGCTACACCGGGCTCGGGAATTTGGCCGAGGGGAGTGGTGGCAGTATTGATTGCTCCCCCACTGCCAAATTTCCTGACCTGTGCGGTGCCCCTGCGGGCCAGATGCAGTGGCTCTAAGGGTTGCATCAAGGGTTGAGCACCTCTGACTTAGAATAAAGAAGTAACAGACTTACTACTGCCCTTTGCAAAGGTCTGGGGCCTAATCTTTTTTTCTACCTTCTGCCTTCCAAAAACAAGATACATGTTTTATTTTGGGGGGTGCAAGTATGTGAGAAAACAAGGTCATTTTATCACCAGTACCATCAGGCACTGGCTACCTTAAGCTATGAGAAACTTCATTTTTCTAGCAAAAGACTCCTTTCAGGATGTCACAAAGGATTTCCGCGCTACCGTCACGGTTCTCAACCTTTTTAGACTCAAGGCAACCACTAGGAAAATGGCAGTTTTTAGATTTCACTGGGTTTGTTTGTGGGGGTAGGGGTTTGATTATGGAAATGCAATAAAACTCTTTTGCAAGGAACTCAGAAAGGCCACAACAGGTCAGAATGTTTTTGGCATTGCAGATTTCTATTTGAAATCTCCAGGTTTATTGTGTGAATCATATAGGTTTTTATTTACCTAACAGTGCCAATATTGCATGGTACCCTTAAAAGGAGCTCATGCATCTCCACGGCGTGATGGCAGCCTGGCTGAGAATTACAGGTCTGGCCTGAATAGACCTTCCAGACCTGAACAGTCTAAACCAGTGGTGTTCGGCCTGTGGCCTGTAGTCCTTAACACTGCCACTGTTTTCCCAAAGCCACATTTCTGGACCCGTGCAGTGCCAGAGGACACAGTTTTATGCATTGGATTATTTCAGTGTGCAGGTTCACACCACAGCCCGACCAGCGCATGGTGTCAAGCCAGCACAGGGTTTGTTCTGTAGCCAGATCCAGTGCATGGGGTCACTCTGTGGCCAGATTTGAAGCACCAGATTACACTCATGTGCCAATTCTGCATGGGATCTGGCCCACAAATTTACCCCACACAAGGAAGCAGGCCCACAGACCAGTCCTGTGTCACTCAGGCAGCCCGGTAGGTTAAGCACCTTTGGTGTGAGCCCATGAGATGTTGTCTGCCTGAGTCAGGGGGCAAACTGCACAGTGATATTTTTCTGAGTTAGTAACTGTCAACAAAGTGACTGTTATGTTTTGAGAAAGACATCAACAGTAATGGATTTATCCCAGAGTGACTCCCATGCCTTCACAAATGCCAAAATAACCATCTACAGCCTGACACCTCCTATCTGCACTTATGTACTGTCCAAACAGAATCTGAACTACATTGAAAAATGGCTGGAATGGTAAAAGGAGTTCAGTAACTTGTACCAAATTCAATGTTTTTCTGATCATATTAGTAAGTTAAAAGAACCTCCCTTACAGTATATCCAAAATTGCTGCAGATTTTCCAGCCTGTCACACGAGGGTGCTACAGAACCAAGGGCCTTGCTGCCTTTGGGCAAATTTGTTCAGCGTTTACAAGGTCTTCAGCATAGGTTTCCTTTGGATAGCAGCTACCTGTCTGAAACCTCACTTTCTGGCCTCTGTATGAGGTAGGCTATTTAACACAATGCGCCAATGACCTTGTGAGTTATGACAAATCCTGTGTCTAGAACAAAAATGTAGCAGAAACATTTTGATTAGCACTATTATCAAATTACTGGGCACAGGAGCTCCCATGTTACTGGGAAATGGATTTTTAGCATAGGTTGATGTGGAAGAGTGGAGGGCCAACCTTTTGTAAGTGATCCACAAAATAGCTCCATACCCTTCCTGGGTGTCACTCAAATTGCTTTCCCCTGCCTGCTCGTCTGCTCTGCTTTCTGCTCCCTGTCCTGCCTGGACCCTCCCTATTCTGCTGTATGCCACATACAGAGGCTGCCTATGCCACTTGTGGTACCTGTCTGCAGGTTGGCCACCCCTGATTTGGAAGATACTGGATTATATTGAAAAGCTCTCTGACAATAGAAAAAGCTGATGTTAAGACTTTGGTTTCTCACATTGGCAGTTGTAAATAGTGTTGGGACACTTAGCTTTTTCATGTCACATTATGAGCATGAATATTATGGTGTGATGTTATTCCTTCAAAGATACCATTGACTTCCATTTTTTTCTTTACCACTACTTAAGAAAAACCTTGCAGGGTTTGAAAAACATGCTGATAATATTGAAGCAAGGTTGAGGTGGGTATGGAGTGAATAGAGAAGGGCTATAAAGGAAGATATATGGAGAACGCCAGGAAGAAATTAGACTTTCTGCACTCAGTGGTGAGACTCAGTGCCTTTTAAAATGCATTTTAAAATGTTTCCTGGGGAAATTACTGTCCTATTTTTAAAAGGTTCAGGCAGCCATTATACCCTTCTTATTCTTTGTGCCTGTCATTTTCTCCTGACACCTTCTGCATGTAACTTCCTCTTCAGCATTTTTGCCCACCCTCCCTCTGTTCTTAAAATTGTGGTGTTACCACCTCTGAAAGTTGTTCCTACTACTAATTGATTGATAGCAGAAGAATCCTTACAGGACTGAGCTGAACCAGCTGAGCTGTCTGCTGCTGGCAGGTGTGATTCATGGCTGAGAGACAAACATTAGACCAGTGATTCTCAGCCAGGGTGTGGTGGTGCCATGCAATGTTAGCATTGTTAAGTATAAACGTGAATCACAAGATAAACCTAGAGATTTCAAATAGGAATCCATAGTGTTAAAAACATCCAGACCTGCTGGGGTCTTCAGGAGTTCTCTGCAGTAGAAGAATTACACTGTTTATTTTCTGTAGTGAAAAAAAAGTGTGAAAACCAAGTGCTGGGATTTTCCGAGGGGTGCCTTGAGTCTGTTTAGACATACCTCAGCTCTATTGAGGGATGCCTTGAGTTTAAAAAAGGTTGAAAACACACTGCATTAGACTAACAGTCTCCTATATGAGTTAAGTCCTATGTTTGGGACTTGCAAACTGAATGGGTAGTTCAGAAGCTTTCTGCGAGTAAATACATTTTCAAGTCAAATTAAGATTTTTTAGAGCTCCACAGTGAAAGTGATTTTGTTGCAGTTTTCCTTGCTGTCAACAAAAGCCCACAAGAAGAACACAACAGCTGTTGATACTTTCAAGTCAAAGAACATATGCTTTAAGACTATACCATGCCTGTTTGCGTTATAACTGGTGCCTTGTCTGGATTTCACAATTTGTATTATTTTATAATATGCAGATTAGAGGTAGTATAAACTATAGTAGGTCCTCAGCTGCTTAATGGCGGTATGATGTAGAATTTGCTTGCATTTGCTTGACCAAAGTTTGGGTAAGAAGAAGAGGCAACAGGAATGATCAGGTCACGAGGTGTGAACCATTTTAGAAAATTCAAGAAAGATGGAATGGAAAAAAAACTAGGTTAAAGGTCACTAAAAGGGGCTTGATGCTAGAGAAGGCTAATTTTAGATGAGTTGTAGCTCATATATGGAATAAAAATAGGCATATGAATATTAATTTGAGTAACACCTATTAAAATGCTTTTATATTTAGTTTACCTTATTTGGTCATTTCTTTTTTATATTGAGCCAGGCAATAGAGCATACAATCTGGGTTCATCTCTGAATCTTTGCTCTTTGGCCTTAAATTCTCTGGTTTTTGCTGAATAGCTGATCTGCAGGTAAACTAAGATACATGTTCTTTCAAAACTTAATTTGAAACATGAGAAGTTCTTTTCCTAACAGGCTTTTCACCTGTTGGAGGCTTCTTTGAGACTATAGGACTTGGAGAAATTAATTTTAGAGTCTCTCAAGTATTAACAAGATTGTTATTTCTTTAGATAAAAACACACTTTATAAATTTTAATCATTTGCCTGATATGCCTTATTTGTACTGTTTTGTCATTGGTGTATGTTTTATGTAGTTTATTACTGAATTTGCTTTTAAAAGTTAAGGTATTCTTATGTTTGTGAGTAATTCTGGTGGAACTGGCTCTTCAAACCTTTCTTTGTTCTCAGAATATCTGAGGGTCAAGAATAGCAGGTAGAGGACTAAACTGAGTTTATAGTCCCATTGCTCAGG